GGGCTGATATGCAGCGCCCTTTGACATCCAAACATGGTGGATTACGGCAAATACAGAGTTCATTTTTGGTCTTGTCTGACCAAACCAAAGTTTACACTCACCATTTATAGGCATAGAGACCTCCAGAGACCTTACACGAGGTTGTCCTCAGGGTGCTGTATCACCCGCTCTCACACTGCAGGCTTACTTGTGGTTCCTGGGATGTTCAAAAGTAGAATGGGAGGCAGGAAGAAACTCGCAGCTTGGATTCAGGAGACAGACCCCATCTGTACTTTTAAGATTAGGCTTTTTTGACAAAGCTTCAAGTTGGGGCTGGATCAGGTGACCCAGCTGTATTTAAATCCCTGAAAGCGATGACGTCTCTCCCAGAGCTCTAGTTCAGGGACATCTACCTGTATCTTGTAGAGAAACGCTCCCCTGATATTGATGCCAGGATTAAAGCTTTCAAAGTGTGGACAGCTGTGTGTTTTCGAGCTAGATGGGTAAACAATGCCACTGTGTAGGAGACGAAGAACAAGAGGTTGTTCACTGTTGAAGCACAGGTTAGCGCTTCGTAGCTAGCTTCAAAGAACTCGCACTCGTCTTACGTTTAGTTGACTTTGATATTTACTGTGTAGGGTTAGAAAAGTTGTGTCGTAACAGTAAAGTTGACAGAGTATTTTTCCGACGTCAGTAAATCATTCCTACAGTTTGAATGAGCCACCACAGGGTTCCCGTGGAGAAGCAGGGATTGGTGCGATTTGGCCCGTAAGGTGGGGTTTGGAGAGCTGTGTTCACACACGGGTGCCATACTCACAGCTGTAAACGAGCGTCAGTTAGTGCATCCAATAGCTCAGCAGCTGTCTGTCACTTTTGCTAATTTAAACTAAAAGATGTTTGAAGGAGTGGGCGTGTCCCAGTAGCTCTGATGTCACGTGGAAGCTATGATGAGTCTGCGAGTGTGGGCAGGATTGGACACAAATATTGTGGGAGTGGCAAACAGACAGGAGGGTAATGCTCAGAGGTAAAGTAGTCCCATGCATGGCTCTACTTCCCATGATGCAATGAGCATTCCTCTCTCACCATGTGTTTATACACCACTCTGCATTTAACTGAGTTATTTTCAATCTCTGGATGTTTCTCTCTGTTATTGTAGGGTCTTTACCTTTAAATATACAGTCTATGAGGCGGCTGTTGTTGTGATTTGGCGCTATAGAAATATAATATAATTGAATTCTTGCAGTAGTTCGTGTCGATGGCTGGTCTGAGCCTCTGTCAGCAGCAGTAAGTGAAGCGTTTGAAGTTAGCTTGTGTTCTGCTTTGTGTTCAGTCCAGAGTCCTGACCTCAGCCAGCAGCCAGTCGCTGAACATCTCCTCAGAGGGTGTCCT